CCCCAACCACCCCACTCTTTCCGTAGCATTGGTCTAAGTCCTCGATGCGGAGAGAAAGGAACCAGAGTGATTTGTTATAACGCCGAGCTCTCCTATGGGAACTAGATAGGAGGGTTTCGGTCTCGGACCAAGTGAAGGAAGCCCTGCCCTGGTGGTCGTCACTGGCCAACCTCGGACAGGGGGGTCCCTTGGACCCGCTCGCCGCAGGTATGACTCTGGTAACAGATGCCTCCCCCCAGGGTTGGGGAGCGCATCTATTGGACCAACAAGCCCAAGGATATGTCCCCGCATTAGTTTCGGGACTACCATATCCATACGTGGCCTCGGTCGCGTGGTTTGTGACGTAAGGGAAAGAGAATCTTGGGGTCATGGGGCTTCCCCTGACCTAGATTCTATCTCTCCGTCACCGGCAGAATCGCTGATTAATACCTACAGTTCAAAATAGTCATTTTGACTGACCAGAGTCCATGGTGGGTATGAACTATGTGAATAGGCGGGTTCGGAGAACCCTCGCCTAATTTAGTTGGTCGCAAATACTAATGATGCATAGTGGGAGTATAATTAAAAAAGTAGATTGAAAACTTCAACTCTCCCATTCAGATATCAGTTGTGATTCTGTTTCATCAACACGGGCCATTATGCCGGCAAACAAAGATCTGAATCTACTGGAAAATAAGTGAAACACGACCTGTGCAATTTTTTGAACTCAAGGCAATGAAATAGTGTCTGGAACTGAATTTGGAAAAAATAAATGATGGAAAGAGGGGCTCTTTGTTAAGATAAGGCAGTTTCAGTAATTTGTACAGCTTTTGATCTGATTGAGTTTTGTCTAAAAAAACCGTGTCTGTGATTGATCAGACCACTTTCATCAAACAATCTAGCAATCAATCAAATTTCACATGCTTGGCCAACTTTGTCAATAGATGAGAATCAACTTGATCTCCTTGGCAACTTCAGACGTTGCAACTTGGTTAATGCTGCACAACGAAGATGCAATATCTGGTTTATACAGAAACATTGTAGGTTTACAAAATATGTGAGATTTAAATTTAGCAGTTTACAAAATATGTGAGCTATCACAATGTAAGTTTATATGTGACAGTTACAACTACAGTAATTTCCTGTTAGCATAAAGAAAGAGACATGTACGAGTTTACCAACAATGTATGTTCAGTAAATACAATAGGGTGAAATGACCATGCATGCTATAAAGACTAAAAACACTTACTAATACTATTTTCACATTTTCTAAAATTATTTTGTTCTCAGGTGAAAGACTTGTCAGTATACATGATGCTGGGATCTCCAATGAAACACTGTTGTTTGTGTGGAATGGTATTCAGGTAGGTGTAACTACTCAAATATATTTGTAATTTTCATAAACTGTATACAATGATTTCATATGCCACATCTAATTCATAGGTATCATTAATTGTTGATATCAGTGTTATCATATTTTGAGCTTTATATATTACTAATTACTGTAAAATCTGTATTAGAAGCCACGTCCCTAATAGAAGTCACACGCATTCTTTTTGAATAATTGAGAACCAAAAAATCATCATTTCTCACATGTGTAGATACTCTAATAGAAGCTGTGGCTTCTAATACAGATTTTACAGTACTATCGTTTCAGTCATTCTCTGAACGATATTGCTTATGTAAATGTTGCTGCTCAGCTATTGAAGATTGTTTTGATACATTCGAGACACACCCAGACATATTAATTTAAGGATTGCAGTCTTTGCATATTAATCTATAAATTAACCAATTTTAAGTGAGCTACATACTTTTTATCTTTGTCACAGGTTGATGGAGTACCATTGCACATTGGCGCATCATGTGAGCCATTGTTGTTAACAATAACGTATACAACAACAAACAACACTCGTCCCCAAGAACTGACAAGAACATTTCGCAAGGACTCTATCATTGGTGAAATTAAAGTTATATTAAGTGATATAATTGGTATTGATATAGAAAACTTAGTGTTAAGTTTACAACACACAGTGCCTGTCGTGTTAAGACGTAATGATGATGGTAAAACACTATCAGAACTCTCCATTGAAGATGGAGACAGAATAACAGCTACAAGTAGTAGCAAATATGGGTATGTAACAATTGCTAGCTGCTCTAGATATTTAGTTCACTTGACATGAATATTATAAATACTGATGATATCTGCCAAATGTAGCAAAGCAGTCATTTAATTTTTATACTTAAATTATATTTGTTGTTGTATATTATGTGTGATATCCTGCAGTGTTAATCTGTTGACATTGAGAAAGTTCACATTTTTGCCAATTTCAAGCACTGGCGGCCATTTTGTTTTAATGAATGGGCTTCTAGAGCCATATCTCTGACATGCTTTGACTGATTATGTTCAAATTTTATATATTCATTATACATCATGTTATAGATATATACATGTATTCAAAATGGCTGATTTTGTTTTAATTAATGTTGTTCCAGAGCAATTTCTCTCAATGTGGACAAGTACTTGTTTGACGATCAGATACAAATGTCAATCATTTCCCTGGCATGGTTATATTCCAGCTATATTACTATAAACAAAACTATATATCTTAAATTCAATAACTAACGGAAACTGGGCCATGCATGGCTTGTTGGCTGATGTTTTGTTTTGAAAGTGATACAGCGAAAATCGATTTTCGCGAAAGAGCCATACGTTTTTTGCTGTACACTCTATGAAAGGAAAGCATGTTTTGTCATGTTAAGAATATCAGTAAAGATGAGCTGTGTTTAAACAATTAGTAATTTTCAAAAATGAAACGAGTTTTTCCGATGTTAATCTTGTCCTTACATCCGGAGAATATGTATAAACTCATCTATTTGCTGTTGGTCTACAATCTAGTCATGATTTTCTACTCATAAGAAAAATGAAGATGGTATTTGTACCAATCCTGAGAATGATACAACAATGGACATTATGGCATTATAAATATTGGTGCTCATCTTGCGGGAAACTACCTCTACTCAAGAGTGGTGGCACTTAGTAATATTAACAAAAGATAACAGTATATATAATACTGATGTATTTCACCTCACTGTAGATAACAATGTATTAAAACCTTACGATAAGAGCCAGATTAGCTTTTGGTGCTGAACTGTGTCATCTCCACTGTATGTCCCCACTCACAAGTGATTTCATGCCTGCTATGCACCAACAATATAAACACTATAGTGTTCGTAGTTGTAAACATTATGGCATCTACTGTAAAACCATGAATTTTCACTGAATTTCAAATTTTCTGATTGTCCAGTGAAACAAGGATTTCTATTGTAATTTGACCTATTCACCGGGTTTTAATTTAGCGGATCTAACTGATCAGTGAAAATAGTGAATTAAAACCCAGTGAATATTTACTGTAAGTATTCTGGATTCATTGACAGAAAAATATTTAAAAAGAATTAGAGAAGTGTTAATTATGCAATCAGCTGATAGCATGATGTTTCTTTATAGGGATTCTCTTATGTTAACGCAAGCAGAGGCTGAAAGACAAAGTAAAATGATATCATTTATTGTGGAAAACAGATGCTGTGAAAAGAATGAAGAGAGCTGGCCTGTCATTCATGTGGAGGTTGTTAAAGATTACGTAAGTATACATGCTTT